ACCCTCCTCTTCCATCTCTTCATTCCTTTTGCCTGATGACAAGAAGTAGATTGTATTTTTAAAGGAAAGCAGTTGTTTCCTTGATAAGATAGTTTTAAGTATGTCCCTGGCAGTATCATTAAAGAATGTTTAAAGTGATCCTGAAGGCATATCCATTCCCCAAAAGTTTACCCATTAAAAGAAATAATTTAGTTTCTTAGAGCAACTGATGGAAACACTGAACACATCCACAATTATTTGTCATGGTAGCACTTTAATGACCAGTTCTGGAGAATTCACAGATGCTGTAATCCCTGATTTCAAACCTCCCCCAGCACACAGCAGTGTCCCCAGCCCAAGGTGTTCACTCATCTGCCTGGTTTAGAAGTGCCCAGACTCAGTGCATACATTGTAGGCTTCTTTTTGTCACGAAAACAGAACTTCAGCTGCCATTATAGTGAAAAGACTGAAAAAGGGAATTCATTAAACATTCTACTATTTGCTCATGAAAATAATTCTGTAGTCTTCTGCATATATTTAAAAATACCAGTTGTTAGCATATGTGAGCATTTTATTACTGTTTTATAAATATTGTTCTTAGAAACAGATCACTGAAGGGTCATAGACTCACTTGGCCCTAAATAGCTACAATTCTTTAAGAAAACATTTCTTAACACTTCTGCTTTAAGAAAATTAAAAGGACTGGGAAAATATATAAATACATCCACTATAGAGCAAATACTTTGATATCAAGTCAGGAACTCTTGAATGGATCAGGTTAATCCAACTATCAATGAAACAGTGGTTTACATTTCTAAATTTCTTTCGCCTCAGTTTTGTGCAAACAGAGTTGTGAAAATTATATGCAGATGGAAGGCAGACACCAAAGAGGATTCACTAAGTAAATAACTCACAGAAAAGCCATCTCCTCTTGTTTCCACACTGAGAGGAGGTTACTGAGAAGAGTTTATGTATTTTACTATCATCACTTGACACGAAAAAGGTTTGATGAAAGAATCACTAAGGTACAGAACAAAATATGACTTCATCCAAAAAAGGTGTTTGCTGGAGCCAGGCTCACTTAGAGAGCAAACACTGGGAGAGATCAGCAGCACCTTGGCCAGCTGAGATTAGTTTAGCATGGAGCTGAACAGCACCAAGTTCAGGCAGGCATACACCAATTAACACCAGTTTACTGCAGGAGAATGAACAAAGAGAAGTTCCACGTGAAATACAAACCAGCCCAAGCCTGGAAGTTAACACTTTTCAGTATGTGCCTGATTTTTAAAAGCGTCCAACCACAATATGATCAGCACAGTGCAGAGCCTCCTGGCAGCTGAAAAGATGCATGTTGGCAGAAACTCTTGACTTTTACCCTCCTAAAGAAAAAGGAAGGTACAAACCAAGGGAGTTTGCATCTATCAACACACTGATCTTATTGCATTCCTTGCCAGTTTTAAACCAAAAGAGGTGAGAATATATCCTACTACAGTATTACCCACTTTTAAAGCACCCAATGAAGTGTTCAGTGTTACAGATACTGGATGAAAACGTCCTTGATTTAAAACTATTACTTAGGATGATGATGTTAAAATTCTTGGGGTGGGGTGAGGGTTACTGCTGCAGTCAAAAGAAAAAGTTAGGAACATCCACCACCACATGAATTGCTGGAATTAGCAAGAAGTTCAGTTCACTCTAGGATTAGTTAGAGGGGGGAAAATTCCCTTTATTATTCATCCACAGAAATTTTACAAAATTATAATGTATAGTTATAAAAATATAATGTATAGTTATTGGAGTTGAGAAGGAAATGGTGCCCCTGTGACACAGATCTTGTGCCTCACTGTGTTCCTGTGCAGAGGTACAAGGTACAAAGCCATGATAATTGTTATCCAGCACCCTCAAAACCAGGAGCTTGGAGTACATCAAAAGGTCTGCAAAGTAGGGATTAGGAGACAGATCAAAAGACTAGACACCAACAACTTAAAGGATGCAGTTACTACATAGCAAGAAACAGTTCTGTAAGTACACCAGAGGGAATTTGAGTGTGAGGAGGGTGTTGGTGAACACCTTGGCAGTAAAAAGGGAATACTCAGTTGCCCAGACCAACAAGCAGAAATGAATGCACACAGTAAAAACAGGAGTTGAATCTTCCCAACAGTTGCAGCATTCTGTCAAACTTGATCCATTCTCTCTGGAGCAGAAACTTGTGTATTATTCTCCGTGACAAAATGTCCATTAATCAGACCCCCACCGGGATGATTTGGTCTGTGACAGATTCAAAAGAACTATATGTACTTAGTGGTGCAAAGCCTGTTTAAATATTGTGACAGGCTTCTGACAGTTCCTGAGAGCTGGAGACTGGAGGGAGATGGAAGCAGTGAGATTAACTATTTCTACAGCAGCCTACAGACTGCACAGTGTTGCAGCCTTCTTGTTATGTGGCATTGAGAAACAATGAGTTTGAAAAACATCCCCAGTGACCTACACCATTCAGGCCAGCTCTGTTTCTGCTGCATGGTAAGCTACTCCTGCTGCCCAGACCCTGTTGTCAATAGGCCTTAGAAGACTTCTGTCTGAAAACCATGGTGTAAACTGTCCTTGGACAATGATATGGAGTTTCAAGCGTCCCTGCTTGCTACTTGAAGAAAACCATTCAGAGATGCAGTAATGGTCATGCTTAGGTTGCTATCCATGCTGCTATAAGCTGCTGGCCAATAGCATCACTGCCTGTGCTGTCTTTTTCAGCACAACCCCTCTGCATTACCTTTCTGTTTGATACTGGCTTTACTAAAGAGATTCCCCAGACTGTTCTTCAAAGCCTGAAAAGATACCTGTAGATTGGGATTGTCCCATGAAGAAGAATTTTAGCAGTGCATCCCAGTCTTGCATAGCATAGGGAAAAGGGATGCATTTCTGGGAGGCCATGGGCTTGAGGAACAAGCCTAAGCAGTAAAGACAATCCAGATGGGCTGGACCATGTCCCTTGCCAACAGGAAACCTAACATAGTCCTGAAGATATCCACTGAAGTTCAGAACTAGCAGATTGGGTATTTGATAGGCTCAACCAGGTCCTAAAATGCATAAAACAGCAGTTTTGTACCCCTTTTCTCTAAAACTTAGTAAAATGTTGTTTGGGGTTGGCCTTAATGTTGTACAGCAGCATTGCCAAAAGAAATGCTTCTACAAAATCCCCAAGCAAGCAACTTTTTTTTTTTTTTTAAACTCAGTTATCTGTCACATTCACCAAGCATGTCTGTTTCACCTCTGTTCTTCACTATTCTTAGGCTGTGATCATGCAATGCCTTAGTGTGTCTTAACACCTGATAGATCTCAAAAGTGCCTCATCTGGCATTTCAAGCAAGGCAGCTGCCTGAAAGCTTCACTAGCCACTAAACCCAAGAGCTGCAAGAAAGTGCTTCTCTCAGCCAAGTCCTTATAAAGCTTTCCTTGCACTTCCCATGCTCATCCCCTTCAGCAGTGCCACTTATCTGCCAGTTGTTCCTTGCCAGATCCACTCTTTGCCAGACACAGTCTTTGAAGGGCTGCAGCTTTTGTCTGTGCCTTTTTTGCTCTTTGGTTAGCTATTAAAACTTACTTTCAGTTAGCCTCTGTATGGTTATTTCAAGGACATTCTATAAAGTAATATGAGTTACTAAACACTTAAAGCTGTCTCATTGGGATAGTGAAAACAGGACCAGCCCCCAGGAGAGGAGCATTCTGCACAGATTCAGCCCAAGAAGTTGGCAAGAGATGGTAGCAAGACTCATTCCAGCTGCTTTTCTTTTACCTATCTAGACTTTCAGTTACTCCACTCTTTTTTTTGGTTTTCATTCAGTGCAACTGCTGAAATACTTTCCATGCTTCATTTTTACCTTGTCCAAGGACATTTAACTTGTCCTCAGAAAATATGTGAGCCATATACAATGTGTTGTGTGAGGGCTTTTATGTTAACTTATTCATTATCTGTTCAATGCTTTTAACATGCTCACAGGCCAGAAAAACCTCAAGGGCACCCTTGGGTCTCCTACTACACTTGCTAGACATTCATGTAACTTTTAAGACTTTCTGAGAAGCACAGCAAAAACTAATTTATAAGCTTATACATATTTAAAGTTACAACATACTCTCTTATATATTCTGTATTTAAAAAATCATACATTTTTTTTTCTTATCTTAAGACTGCAGCATCTTCCAGTGCCTTGCAGCAGTTTTCTGATATATTTATTGGCCAATTCCTACCTGTTACCACCACTGAGTAACAGCAATATGCACTGAACCCACTTGATTCCACTTTCAAGCACAGGCATTCTCTGTCCTAAGCATCAAACCAGCTCCTTCTGAATGGGGGGTGTTTCTCTTAACTTCTTTGTGTCATTGTGAAATCTTTCCAGTTTGGTCATGCTTAAGTACAGGCTACAGGAAAATCAGTTTAAACAACTCTGAACTTGTTATTTTGTCCCCATGAATGTAACCTGTATGTTCGATCACATTACCCAACAGAGAAAAAAAATAAAATCATACCTTTTGATAAACCAAATTATCAAAACTAAAATAATAACAGGTCATTGGCAAGAAACCAGCTGGATCATGGAGAAAATCTTACAGGGACTAACAGTAATATTTTAATGTATTTCTTAATGGGGTATTTTCTGTCATGCAGAAAATCTTACAGGAACTAACAGTTATATTTTTATCTATTTCTTAACAGAGTATTTTCTGTTTTTTCAGGCAGAAGAATTGTGGAAAAAAATCCCAAATTAGTATCTTCCAACACCAGCGGCATTTAGGATTACATCTTAATCTAGATTTTTAAAGCCACAGAAGAAACACTGTTGCTCATTATAAAATAAAGCATTTAGCATTATTCTCATGGAGAGAAAGCAGCACATGACAGTTACCACGATCAAAACAAAGCTGGCAATTTCCTTTCACTGGGAGAGAACATGAAGCTGAGAAGAGAAAGTTAATACTGATGCAAACATGAATAGAGATATGTTCTTCATACATGAGAAACTTACCAGTACTGTTCGTCCTTGGGAAATAAAGAAATGTCCAGATACAATTATAGTAAGGATAAGATGGCCTGATTCTTCGTTTGATTCAAAGACCTTTTAAAAGACAGATAAAACAAAAATCTAGCCCTGTAAGCACAGAATCTGCATTTCCCACTTCTAGCACAAAACAGAAGGTTTGAAAGGTCAGGCGTTTAAAAGTCAGGTGTATAATTTACCTCACAGCAATGCAACCTGCCCTCCATTCCCACAGATAGGAGGGATATTAAGGATTTTTTTACTAATTGTAACTTCATGTCTGGATGTAAATAATAACCATCTGAACTCTTCCATTTTGATCTATAGTTTTTAATGCTTCACTACTGAAGAATTATATATCTATAAAAAAGGGCCACTACCTATTTTTTTTTACTAATTATAACTTCATGTATGGATGTAACTATTAACCATCTGAACTCTTCCATTTTGATCTATAGTTTTTAATGCTTCACTATTGAAGGAAAGAATATATATATATATATATATATATAAAAGGGCCACTAACTACCCACTATTTTCTTTTACTAATTATAACTTCATGTATGGATGTAACTAAAAACCATCTGAACTCTTCCATGTTGATCTATAGTTTTTAATGCCACAGGTCACTATTGAAGGAAAGAATAATATATACATATAAAAAAGAAAGGGCCACTAACTATTTTTTTTCACTAATTATAACTTCATGTATGGATGTAGCTAATAACCATCTGAACTCTTCCATTTTGATCCATAGTTTCTAATGCTTCACTACTGAAGGAAAGAATAATATATATATATATACACACACACATATATATAAAAAAGGGCCACTATTTTTTTTTACTAATTGTAACTTCATGTATGGATGTAGCCAATAACCATCTGAACTCTCCCATTTTGATCCATAGTTTTTAATGCTTCACTACTGAAGGAAATAATTATATATATATATATAAGGGCTACTAATTATTTCTTTTTACTAAGTTCATGTATGAATGTAACTAAAAACCACCTGAACTCTTGCATTTTGATCTATAGTTTTTAATGCCACAGGTCACTACTGAAGGAAAGAATAATATATACATATCCATACGTAAAAGGGCCACTAACTATTGTATCATTGATATGTTCACATTAATAATTTCTGAAGCAAAAATCTCTCCCGGTTTCTCCATCAAATCGGGACTTGCAAAAAGACACTTGCATGGATCTGATTTATGACTGATTTACGACTGATTTATGCTGATTTACGACTGATTTATGCTGATTTACGACTGATTTATGACTGATTTATGCTGGTTTATGCTGATTTACGACTGATTTATGACTGATTTATGCTGGTTTATGACTGGTTTATGCTGGTTTCTGACAGCGGCCTCCTACCCCCCTCACAACCCAGCCCAGCCG